GTTTATTGTTTAGCACCAATGGTATTTTTAATGAAAATCTTTACTTCCAAACTTGGATAAATATTTTATCGCAACTGCCAGCTAAAATAATATTAAAAATTTGAAATTATAAATAGAAGGATTGTTATGATTGTTTCTTTTAAAATTGTTATTTTAGAATTTCTCTTTTATTTTATAAAAATATAAATTGTTTTGCCTGGTGTTTATTACTTTAAAATGTTCTCCTCGTCTATAATTTTTCAGGTTTTCTAGAAGATAAAGTGTCTTAACACTATAATAATTACTCTTTTTTCTTATTAAATTATTATTATTTTTTAAAATGTATGTTAAGATATTAATTAAATACATATAAATTATACTTTATTGTAATCATTTTAAATAAATAAATATCGCAAGTTTAATATTTGTAGTTGGAATATTTTTATTTATTGAATATCGGTAATTTTAAATACATTAAATATGCAAATTAAACTGAAATTTATGGAGATTTTACTCATTTTTTTTAAGCAATTGTACACTAGAATACACGAAGAAATTGAACGAGATAATTATTAAGTAAATACTCTAGGATTTTTGAAAAATATGAAATATTTTGTTTAATTTTTAAAAATTTATATCCAAAAATTTATATTAAACACAGCACGTTTTATAAATATCTCCTCTAACGTTTTCAAATTGTATTCACACAATTGAAACCATCGTCGAAGCATTACGATTTTGAAATCTTCATATTTTCCAAATGTGAGAGTAGGAGCCCAAAGGAAAAAAGGAGGGAAAAAAACATGGAAAAAACATAAAATTTATGAAAAAAGATAATTTTTTCCATTGTGGAATCACTTCAACTTCTCTTAACTTGTGAAAAGAGATATGCTGGATCGTGTTCCATAAGACGATCGTATAAACTTACCGATTGCAATAAAGTCGGATTTTAAGCGATTTTATAAAGACAGATGACTCTATAAAGAAAGTCATATATTCTAGATAATAATTTAATGTTTAAAAGTTTCTGTAAATATCTAGAGAAAAAAAAATGCAATCATTAATAACACTAGATCATTGAAGGAGAATTATAAAGATTAAAAGTTTTTTTTTTTTTTGGGCCGATGAAGAAAGGAAAAATAAAATATGTTAATCTGTCATACTCCTTTTAGGATGATTAACGATGGTTTAGTGATAAGACTGGTTTTGATATCTTGCTAAAATTAATTATGTTTTCTGAATGATACGTAAAGATTGGCGAGAGAGATCTGGGTGTGATGATTTAACGATGTTTAGTGGGTTCTTTATGCAGGTTTTTAGCAACAGTTTTAAATTTCTTACAGCTACACGATAAAGGAAATCTTGTCAGCATTCTAATTGTCTTCTTAGTAAGAAAATTGTAGAAAATTTTAAGTAAATTAACAGCATCTCAATCAGATGTCACCGTACTCCACGAGCTGTGCTTCAAAAATATCCTCAGAAATAACCGTTTAAAATTTAAATTTCAACTTATAAACAAAGCAGAAGGGGGTTTATACATCGAAGGATATCCATAACTTATATAAAAAATGATAATAATACTTGTGCTGTTTGGACACGAAGCTTTAAGTCGAATCAAATAGAAGGAACTGGATATGGGGTTGCTGCCATCATTTCTGGAACAGACTATCGAATTGTGTTACTTAGAGCCCACTTTAGTCAGCAGTCAACTGTTGCCAAAATCGACCAATCAGTGGCCGGCCAAACTGGCGTGCCCCCTCGTGTCAAGGGGCTGTCTGTCATGAAGATAGATGGAGGTCAGGGAGATGTAGGGAAAGAGATGAGAAAGTCCCCATGTTTCTCATATTACACCGACTATCGGACGGCTATTATTGCCGGTGTGTGGGAACCTAGAACTGGAGGAACGGGGTAATCCATCAAATCGCTTCTCCTCCACGTCCAACAGCTGCTAGACTCCACTCTATTCGTCTGTGGTCAGCAAGTTTGTTTCTAAATCTGTCCCACTTTCTATAAGAAATGCAAAGTTTCTGGCCTCACATTATGATAAAAATAAAAGAAAACAAGCTCGCACCGATTCGATTAAGTTCATCCTTTATAAAATAAATTAGCATTATAAATAAATTTGTTGTTGAATTTTATTTGTCATTGTAATTTAGGTCTTTAACTGAATGTTAAGTAAAATTTATGATTACATAAAAATGCCACATAAACAGCTCGGTTAATGACCTGTATAAAATATTACTTCACATATAAAAATGTCTCCTTGTCACGTGATATGATGCAGAAAGAATGATGCTAAGGCTGTTAAGTCTCGCACTTCAGGTAACGATGTCTCAATGATAGCGGAATAACGATTTTCTTTCGAGTAACTAAGCTCGATACAGAAATTTAGACAAAAACTTTTTGTCTTATCTACATCCTTCTGCTCTTAAAAAGCCAGTCTCTGGCTCTAAATTAGAGAGATAGTTTCGAATTTAGACCCGATAGCAACTATAATTTATTGATAGGTGAGATGGTGGAGTGAGTCAGCAGCCAGGCTGCATAATGACGTTGCTGTTCACGCGTAACAACCCGACACAGCTGCACGTGCTTGCGCCAGATGCATGACGGGTGATTTCATTGTTTCAATATCCGTCCTGCGTTAACTATAGACCCAACCTGTTGACAGCCTACGTAAGGCTTCGTTACAGAGAAACCTTTCAAACAAAATCTAATAAATTTTCCTGTGTTTTTTAATATTTCAATTGTTTTAACCATAAAATAATCTCCGGATTAATGATCTTAATAAGAAAATTTAACAAAAAAATTAATGCAATAAGACTAGGAAGGAAGGGAGGAAGACATTTTCTTTTTGGTCGTAAAAATGCCAAATTTCTAATTCAAAACACCATCCTACAAAATTATTATCGAATTTAATTCAATTTAAATTTATTCAAAGATGTCCTCTATATAAAATTAATAGGAAAATTAATAAATTTCACTGCTAGCATCACGGATAACGCTTAAATTAACTATAAGAAATTCGATTATACTCGAATTAAAGCGAATTTTGCGAGAGATAAATGGAGAAAATTCATAAAAAAATACTTTAAAAGATATCAAATTAATAATTAATTATATTGTGATTTTAAAAAATTCGTTTATTTCGGATTTTTAAGAGAATAAAACCCGTTTCACACGCACGGACATTACTTATGCAGCGAATAAATTAAAGATGAGTAAAATGAACGTAGCCAGAAGCAATGGCTGTACTTAAACTCTATTATTAGCGTTAGATTAGTATTATTGAAAAGCATTAGACGAGATAGAAGTAAATAACACAAGTATACATCATCCGGGAGGCACAATACTAAAAGATTAACATTCGTCAGCAGTAGATTAACACCATTGTGTACGACTTCATTTGTATCAAACGTCGGATAGACGTGGCATTGAATGAGTTAGGTTATCATTTGAGTGAAGATCGTGTCCACTTTCTGTAGACAGTTCCAGACAACTGGAATATCGATTTTCCGGGTAACATATTACCCAATCGCCAATAACACAACACCAAAGCAACAAAGACGTTCTCGATCGGGGGCTGTCAGTCACGGACCGTAGGTGGATAGCAATCGATTATCGGTGACACCTGTAATTTAGTCCAATGTGGTCGCTTCCCTTGCAAACAACAGATGGACAAGAACAAGACGTGGACAAGTTTAACTTGACCTTCTTGTCCAGACATTGAATATTTTGTTCACTACAATTGACTGCATCCGGAGCAACGAGATGGCTTCTCTCTCTTGTCTCTCGCTCTCTCTCTCTTGTCAAATTACTTTTCTCTTGTCAAACTTTTAACAACAAATTTAAAGCGAAGGCGTATTATTTTAAATGTCAATTAGAATCGCTTTCAAAAGTGCACGTATCCTAGATTCATTTAACAGTATAGAAAGCGCGGAACGACATAAAATTCCTTCCGGAAGGATTTGCATCAAACTAAAAATTATCTCGGTGTAGAGTAATGGTGGATATATAATCCCATCAGTTTTACTTTGACGAGAGAGAAAGATGCCCCCCTTTAAAGACGTCTGGCCCTCGGAATCTTTCATTGTCATTAAGTTTCGATTTGCGAGGATAGGCAATAACACTAAATCTAATCTGAAGCCAAGCTAATGGGTCCAAGTAGATGAAGACGAAAGTGGTTTGGAAGGCCAAAGTTTCTGTCCATGTGTCGATCAGAATACTGCTAAGAGTCATTAATGTGCTAATGGCAGTAATTATCAGCCATCAACTGTGACCTTTCTTGGTTGAATTCTTTGCAACCTCCATACTTAATTATGTGACATTAATCATAAAGTGCCTTCATAATTTTCGTCTACCTGATTCTCGCGCCCGTATGTAAGCCAGACAAGATAAACGTTCCTATCCGTCGTCTGTTTAGACCTCGGGTTCATTTCTAATCATTATTATAAGTTATCTGTTGGCTGTCACGTGACACCGACACGACTCTTCAAGCCGCAACTCGCAATTTTTACACTTTTATTAATACTTTTCCAATTTTTTAACGCCGGAAAGACGATTAACTAATGGTTTATTGAATTTTTCTAGGAATTACAGCCAATTATTTCCAAATTTAATATTTCTTTTTTTCTTCTTCTTCTTCCTCCTTTCCTGAATAAAAATTTCATCTCTAATTACAACAGAAATGGAGAAAGTTAACAAAAAAGTTTAAAATACTCTCGGCCATTCCTATTGGTCGACTCTTGATGACTTGGCAATTTTCGAGTCATTCTATCCGGTATCCTGGTGTTTGGCAATGGAAACGTTTCAAAAATTATTTTTAAATTACTTTCGTGATTGCTTTTAATTTGCAAGAAAATTATTTTATTCCCTTTCTTATTTAAAAAAATAAACGGAAAATAACTTTCTCGCCAATAAAAGGTAATTATAAGTCCAAATTAAAATATCTCCAACTGTTAAACAGATTCTATTGGTCGATCGGTGATGACGTTTCGAATTTAAACATTCAAAAAAAAAGAGAGGAGGAGGAGAAGGAGGAGGGGAAGGAATAATAATATTAGGGGGAAAAAACAAGAGAAAGAGGGAATTTAAATTGCATCGATTGATCAATTAGTCGGGCAAAAGTCATTTGATTTTATATTCTATCATCGAGAGAAATTAATTTTTATTTTAATGCGAAAATGAAAATTTGAAAGTGGTCGAAAATTCGCACGAATTGGCCGAGATAAAGAGAAGGTGTCGCAGTTTGTAGGAAGGGAGGAGAAAAAAAATGGCTTGTTTGATTGCATTCATCACATAAAAATCGGCCATTATATCTGTTGGGAGATAGACTCTCAGCTTCTGAGATCTCGTCCACCTTTTATACTTAAATAGACCGTTCCTTCTTGCCTTCTTCATCGATCGAGCGAGTGCCTGGCGAGCAGAGGCCAGCTGACGGACCGGAAAGGGTTCTGAGCATGCGTAAACAATAATAACGGGCGATTGATGACGTCAACAGCTGGTCCTTTCTGATTGTGACAGTTCCATCGTTCCCTTCTGACATATTTTTCCGGTAGATGTATTTACCCAATAAAGTAAGCTTGACAAATTTATTCATAAAGGTAAAGATCGGTTTTAAAATAAAGAAAAGAAGAGATGGAAACGTCAGGAGGAAGGAAAGCTCTGACGAGAGATTAGTTAACGTGAATATTGTGGCTCGATGCTATCTACAGGTGTAGCTCATAACTGACAATGCAACCAGGTGGAGTAAATCGATGTGACGTCATCATAGGAGGCTTCCGGGTCACGAGACCAGCGCTGCGACGACGCGTTGAGATGACGTCACGAACGGCAGTCAGCACGCAGAGCGAGTGAGAGCAGTGCAGCCAACATTGTGGTCGAGGAAGCGGTAGAAAAGAGATGAAGCCGTGTTAAGGAGACACAAGTAGGGTTTCGGTGAACCAATTTAGGGCTTCCCGGCTGGAAGGGTTTGCAGTCGACGGTATGCCTCGATCGTTCCTAGTTAAGAAGCCCAAATATCCTCTGGACTATGTTACAAGGTGGTCATATCAAGAACCGTCGAGCCCAACCGAAGCGAGTACGGCACCCAGTCCACCTCCTTACTACAATAACTGTAAGTATCCTCTTTAATATATTATACCCCCTCCGACCTTCCCGCGTATTTCGTCTATCCCTTTATACCGCAGTCGGCGATTAACGTTGCCATTTGTCCTCTATGACACGGGCGGACGGCAGTCGATGCTCGAATTTCTATACCCGTATATAAAGAATTGCGGACGTTAGCATTTAACGTGTTAAAGAAAAGACGTATAGAAAATACGTTCGAAGCGATGCAGACGGACAGTGTGTGTGGATCGATGTGCTACGTCTGCCACTTGTTGATCTGTTAGACCTGGAAGCCATCTTGTATGGTCAGCAGTTGGGTCACGTGGTTAACGTAGAAACGGTAAAATCGTCTCCCAACTGCTATTTTGGCTAACGAATACGCCGGTTGACGCACCGTTAACCAGGCAAATACACTGTTAAATCGTACGACGTTTAAGCGTACTTTCTTGACGAGAAATAAATTTATGACTGAGATAACCGATTGCAATTTTAAGACAATTTTTCTAATTTATAAATCACTCAAATGACAACTGTTGCATCTTCATTCGCATCTTCTTCGTCTTATTAAAACCGTTGGTTCCTTTGCATCATTTATTCCGCAGAAGAGAGAGAGAGAGAAAGAAGAAGAAGAAGAGAAAAAAATCCTTTGCCGTCATTATTTCTTTAATCCATAACCTCACTGTGACGTAATTTATCACCGCGAAGAAAAGAATTGTGTTGTGTTTAATTTTCGGTAACAAAGATAAATGGAGTATTCTTCAACGTATTAGGAATAGCAATTCAAGAAAATATAAAAGAAAAGAATTTTCAATACTTAGTAATCTCTTTTCAAATTTATTTACTGCTTGAGGGAAAGTGTTGAAATTTAATGCTTTTCTCCTAAAAGGAATTTCAAGTGAAACGTTAAAAATGGCATCTTCTTCTCTTTTTTTTACATTGTTTGTAATTTTTTTTATTTAAAATTTTATTTTAATGAAATTCGAAATTATAAATCTTTTGTTGTTTTGTTATTGCTCACCAGAATGAAAATCGTCTCTAACTATTCTTATTCGTTTGCTCCTCTCTTGCTTTGCTCCTAAATATTTCTAGAATTTTTAAAGGTTTTTATATCAAATTATTTTAAAATTTTGTAAATAAAATAGCTTAAATTTTTAATTAGTTGATTAATTAGATCATTTTTAAATATATTCTACGTAAAAATGATTGTTTTTTCGCAGATAGAAGCCTAATTTTCTCTGTTTATTCGTTTAGTTTCCGTATTCAGTGATACGGAATTTGTCTAATTTTATTAAAACCTTTACCTAGCGAAGAGAGCAAGATGCATTATTCTAAAAGGATCCGTTCTCAGATCGTGTATTTAATTTTATTATATGCGAATAATAAATCAGAAACACAATCTAGTTAAGTTTGTTTCAATAATCACCAATAATACTTAAAAGTCGGCTTCATGACTAATCATAATACGTCAATACCTTAGTAACTTTCATATTTAGTTAAATATTCTGTTAATATTAATATTAATTAGCTACTTATAAATGCCATAAAATACATATTAATGCATAAATATTAATTTTATTGAACGTTAGATAGATGTTTTCTCCTACAAGCTCGGTAGTCGTAAGGAGAAGTGTCATTGCCAGGGGATAATCTATATTTAAACAAAGCATTTCTCGCCTTTATTGTGGGTGTAGAATTTTACATTTATATTTAGATATAAGATTATGGATAGAGGATTGTTGATGCATTATCGCTTATGCTTAATATATTGTATATTAAACTTACAATAGTCGCTTGAATAAACACTATTCTGTGTTTGTTTAGGCTGTTTGGAGCTTTGTAATAATTAGATAAAATTACTAAAAAACATTTATGGTAGAAACGATTCTCTTAACCGAAGAAAAAAAAATCGATATTTCCGTTAGTTTGATTATTGAAAAATTACAAAGGACGAAAATATCCGTAAGAGTAGATTTTGTTACTGTGATGTGAGGGGAAAAAATTTGTAATATAAATAATTTGTATTTAATGGATTTATCGCTTAATGAAATATCGGTTTTACTTATTAATAAAGCTTTCTAGCAAAACAGAAAGCGTTAATGCATGTCTTTCCGTAACGGAAACTGGCTAAAAATAATCTCGGTTTAATGTAATTTACTACGTCCATATTGATAATTTAAATACCTATCAATTATCTGTAATTTTACAAAAATGATTTAGTTAAATAAATACATTTAAATATATATTTCTATATAATATTTAGAAAATTTCTCTATTTTAACGGCGAATAAATGACACATCGTAATTAAATTTTAATATTTCTTATCAGATTCATGATCAAAAATATATATATGTGTGTGTGTATATATTTAAAAAATTTATGACAGGATATTTTATCCGTAAATTCCGTGAAGAATGTTTATAAAAATGGAGTAGTCGATGCAATCATTCGAATATCTTATACGTACTGTTTCAATATCTTTTTCAGCTACAGGTTACGTTTCTGACGTCATTTCCGGTGTCTCTTGTATCAACGAAGAGAGGAAAGATGACTCCAATTCGAATCACGAGGGAGCCAGTTCGGATAATAGTCGGGAGATGACATGTCACATCAGCGATGGACGAACAAGAAGAAGAAAAGTACGAGAAAACGTGGAAGATAGACCTCGATACACATGTAGCGAATGCGGCAAACAGTACGCTACATCGTCCAATCTGTCACGTCACAAACAGACACATCGCAGCCCCGATTCTCAACTGGCCAAGAAATGTCCTACGTGCGGTAAAGTGTACGTCAGTATGCCCGCCCTGTCCATGCACGTGCTGACCCACAACCTCAATCACAAGTGTAGCGTGTGTGGTAAGGCATTCTCCAGGCCCTGGTTGCTTCAGGGCCACATGAGATCGCACACGGGCGAGAAACCTTACGGCTGTGCACACTGTGGTAAAGCATTCGCAGATAGGTCTAATTTGAGGGCCCACATGCAGACGCACTCGGCCTTTAAGCATTACAGATGCCAACGATGTGACAAAACTTTCGCACTCAAGTCGTACTTGAACAAACATTACGAGTCCTCCTGTTTTAAAGAGACTCCAAATATTATCGATAGGCAATAAATTTCATATATATATATACGTAATCAATTCGACCAAGCAATAGTGTATCCAAAGCAATAATTTTTACACCAACTTCCGATCGGAGTGGTCCTTTACTTAGCGTGTAGTTTCAGCTATTCGTTGAATTTCGAGCAATAATATATATATATATGTATGTATATTTATATATTGTAGAAAGCGGAGCCCGCATCGCTCCACTTGTTGTACACCTCTAGGTTACTGCACTTTAAACCGAAGTTAACAATAAAATCGCTCAACCTACTTTTAGTAAAGTAAAGAGTGTATTATGATGAGAAATTTCTCCACCCACAAATCCTACAAGAACTTTAATCTCTGCAGTGATTACACTATTTAAGAACCAGCATCTGGAGGATTACAAGATAAAGAGGTGAAGGAGACAGGTATCTAGGGAGATATATTCTCTCGTGGTTCATTAGCTCGAAACGGGAATATTTGTGCGCTTTTTATTCTCCCGGACGGATAGACCTTTGAGATATGCAAAGACAATTTATCAAGTCAGACCTTACCCACGCGTTATGACGTAACAACATCTGCATGTACCCGCTCTTCGGGGGTTCGACGGGAGGGGGTCGAAAGATAAGTAGGGGTAAGCAGGCAAAAAAAAAATCTCCGGTGAAGACCACGCCCCGATCTGTTAAATATTTATACATNAGAGCCTATCTAGATTCTTATATTTTTTTAGGCAAACCTTCTTATTGTTTTTTCCTTTTTATACATTGTTTTTAAAATATTTTGCTTGCATCTTTTTACTTAAGATAATTCACCCACCAATTGAATAATTAATCCATTTAATTATGCCATAGGCGGGAAGGTAAGTCAGACGTTATCTACGAGATCAATCGCAATAAGCTACGATCCAAAACAATTTGTCCGTTTGGAAAAATATTCTACCCTTCTCAAAAAGCTAAAAATTTAAATTTAAGTTACCTCTAATAGTTAAATGAATAAACTTTTTCAATAAAATAAAAAAAAAATTAGTTTACAGTATTATGGTTTTATTAATGTTTTGTGAAACTAAGAGTATTGAAATGCTTTATCTCTTTGTAATTTCATTATTTATATAAAAAGAATGAATGTAAATTTCGCAATTGGTTCTATTTTGGAAATAATGCGGTTATACTTGGAATAAAGAAGAAACGAAAATATACGAACCAGGAAATAGGAAGATCAAAACAGGAAAATAATAGCAATAAAGTAAAATTAGAAAGGACTCAATATACAGTATTTGAAAAGGTCAATAGAAACATGACAAGATGACAAAATAAAATAACATAGCATCGATAAATCTTTCCATCACAAAATAATAATATTTTATGAATAAAAGAAACAAAATTATATTATCAGTTCTATTATTTCTCATTAAAAAAAAAATTATTAAATGCAGTTCTCTATTTTAGATATTCAAAATAGTTTAAAAAATTGGAAAAATAATAATCATAATTTTACAGATTATAATAACAGATTAATTGGCTTTTAACATTAATAAGTGTGAAAAATCATTATCGATTTGCTCAAAAATTAACTTATTTTCTTCAAATTATCACGTTCTTTAAATCTACATATAAATACTGTATTTTATAAAAATATCCAAAAGTAAATATTGAAAAAAATACCTACATGTAATCATTTGATTTCTTGCATAATCTTTGGATTATGAAATTTTTTAAGATATCAATTAATCACTTGATTTTAGGACATTATGACAAAAAATAGGCTAATGTAATAAAAATTATAATCATCGTAACTAATTTTTAAATATGACTAGTAACACTTATTTTACAATTTTAAATTACCTAAAGAATATATTCAGTGCAAGATAAATACAATTTTATTAAAAATAGATTAAAATGCAATTACAGTTAGTTGTTTAAAATCAAAAATATAATCTGTTATTTCTGTTAGTAACCATGCAAGCAAGCTATTTTATATAATCAAGGTCGACGAGAGGGTGAGTGTGATTTTTTTTAAATCCCCAGGCCCGGGATTCACGGGGGCCCAGACATCACCCCACAATTTGTTTTTTTACGCGCTATTATAATATTAAATGCTTAACTACTGTATAACTATTGTTCTTTATTTTGTAAAAAGTAATATATTCAGAAAAAATTTTCAAATAATTTTACTTGAGGCCTATGTAAATTCTCCCGCCGGGCCTGGAGATGTCTCTCGATGCCCATGATTATAGTATTACAAAGTTGGCCCACCAGTGGTCAAGCGGTTCTGTTCACTGAACACTGGTTGTGGATTCGCGCCTCGCCGGAACGAGCTGGCCACGTGGAGTTTTTCGGGTTTTCTTTACGTCTGTAACACCTAAATACTGGTCAGTTACCCTTAAAAGACCTCCGGGAAGGCATTATTCCCTGTGTATAAAACAAAAAAATATATATAACTACTAACCATGTCACATAACATGTCCATCGTAAAAACCTACCACGGGGCATCGTAGCTTAGTAGCTCTCGCCCAGCGAGAAGACAAGATATTACAAAGTTGATGTTATTTAATGTTAAGTATGCTTGAAATGTTTCTTATTAATACTAGTTTAAAAATTAAAATAATAATAATATATTTCACAATTTGTTAGCCTATATCTTTGAAAACGTACTTTACTCATTTTGATGCTAAAGTGTTTTTAAAATTTGCGATTTTCAAATTTTCAACGGTTAATAAACAAAATGAAAAAAAATATAAATATATATATATATATATAAATATATATACACATAATTTTAGATAATATTTTACAGATGTATTTCTATGCAAAAGCTTTACTCATCTTTTAAAAGAAAAAATTTTTTTTCCTTTTTTTTGTGTTATTTTTGGCTGTCAGTTTTTAAAAAATTGTAAATCAACAAAGCAATAATAAGTATGAATAAAGCAATAAAAGAAATTTATTATTCTCTCGACGATACAGTTATGCAAACGGCTTTGGGTTTTATGAAATACATTTTAGAAGAGATTGTACATGATGTCTCCTATGCATGATATGACTGATCTTCATTATGGTAGCAATAAACTTTCTTATTTTCGCTGGTTGTCGCCTTGTTTATTTTTTGTCTTCTACACATAAACACCGCTTCCCAACATTAAAAAAAATGTATAATTAGTAGGCGCTCACGCTTTAAAATGGCTAAAAATAATTAAAACTCGATCAATATTTAATAAAATTTCATATAAACAAAGCAAACCAACGTTTCCTTATATCAAAATATAATAAAAACCGAACCAGTAAAATTGTAAAAAACAAAAAAATTTAACGTATTAAAAAAACAGATTTGAGGAGAAATTTAAATATAAAAATAATAAATAATTTTCCTACCTGTTTGTCATTGTTTACCATCAGAGAAACAGGTGTATCTATCGATTGACTATCCTAGATTTACCTGATCAATAACTTACGTAACAAGACGTCAACAACGGACACGTGCGGGTAATGACGTCACCAATGTCAACACCCACGGAATTAGAGAGTAATTGAAGAAAACACGTGCAAAAAAATACATTGTATCTTAACGCGTGGTATAATAATAATAATAATAATAATAATAAATTTTCGTTTTAATAGGCCAACAAATTTAGATAGTTTTTTATGGCGAGCAATGCAAATTTAGATAAATGGCCCAGAGGCGCTTAGTTTAGTCAAAATATATGCAATGTTCTGGTCCTTCTCTAGGTTATTTCCCTACCCAATTTTGAAAATATCTTTTGCTATTAAACACAGCTGAGAATTTTTTAGAAATCAAATATCTTCTCTCTCTCTCTCTCTCTCTTCTTATATATATTTTATTTTTATTTTTATTATTGGCAACGAATTATTTAAATAATTTCAAAGTAATAACAGTATTTTTGGTCATCTGATTTAAATATTCGTCCTCTGTCAATGTGTGTTTGTCTAGGAGTTAAACTCTTATTGTCTGAATTAACTGCAAATTTTATAAAAGATACAAAATACAAGATCCAATTAGTGTCTTGGATATTATCCAAGAAGATAACATGAATTATTTAACTTATTTAATTTACCATATCTCTGTAAATTATCTTAAAGATAGTAGTGTTAAAGCTCATATATACAATATATATATATATATATTTTTCCCTCGACTCTATCTGTAAGAATTATTTCATATGTAGATCACGGGTTTGTTATCTGTGGATTAATTCACTTAACAGCATTGTCTAATTTGTCACAAATTTTAGTCACTCAAGAGAGACATGGTCTTGTTAAATTTAATGTCAAAATAGTCTAAAGATAATTCAATTATCACCTTAGAAAAAAAAAACATGGAATTTATTATTTTAACTTTCACATAAAAAAGGAAATCATTTTTAAATAAAATCTTCNGGGCCTGGAGATGTCTCTCGATGCCCATGATTATAGTATTACAAAGTTGGCCCACCAGTGGTCAAGCGGTTCTGTTCACTGAACACTGGTTGTGGATTCGCGCCTCGCCGGAACGAGCTGGCCACGTGGAGTTTTTCGGGTTTTCTTTACGTCTGTAACACCTAAATACTGGTCAGTTACCCTTAAAAGACCTCCGGGAAGGCATTATTCCCTGTGTATAAAACAAAAAAATATATATAACTACTAACCATGTCACATAACATGTCCATCGTAAAAACCTACCACGGGGCATCGTAGCTTAGTAGCTCTCGCCCAGCGAGAAGACAAGATATTACAAAGTTGATGTTATTTAATGTTAAGTATGCTTGAAATGTTTCTTATTAATACTAGTTTAAAAATTAAAATAATAATAATATATTTCACAATTTGTTAGCCTATATCTTTGAAAACGTACTTTACTCATTTTGATGCTAAAGTGTTTTTAAAATTTGCGATTTTCAAATTTTCAACGGTTAATAAACAAAATGAAAAAAAATATAAATATATATATATATATATAAATATATATACACATAATTTTAGATAATATTTTACAGATGTATTTCTATGCAAAAGCTTTACTCATCTTTTAAAAGAAAAAATTTTTTTTCCTTTTTTTTGTGTTATTTTTGGCTGTCAGTTTTTAAAAAATTGTAAATCAACAAAGCAATAATAAGTATGAAT